AACTTTTGAAAAATCGACAAGTGATAATGTCAAAATAATTAAATTACAATATTTTCTAAATTTTATTTTTTATAATGAATGTGGTGACTCTATTAATCGTGTTTTCTTACCTTTTAGATATATAGTAGAATGATAATTTTATTTTTATTTTGCTCAATCACATGATTATATAACACAGATGTTTTCATTCACATCTCCTGCAATAATTAATAAATAAGCCATCTGATAAAAACAAAAAACTAATATTACTCATTCATGGTCAAATGTGACTTCTTATTTGATCATGATCTATTTTAAAAGATTTTCTTTGATAGAAATTCGGTAGTATGAGTTTAGATATTCGACATATAAGACTATCGTTAAGACTGACTAAAATTCTCATATTGTCAATATAAAACTTTTTTAATTCATAATTTCTAACCTCGCGTTCATGCTCTCTATTCAACGGATATTTCTAAAAGATGCGAAGAGCCACGAACACCCCCAAATTAAAATCTGAGTTAGCCAATCGATAGAGCTCGTCGAGCTGAGTATAGCAACGTCTAACGAACACCCAAAAAAGTTTTTATAATTTCACTTTTTAAGCATACATTTTCAATGAATACCTACAAACATCCAAAGAACATCCAGAAGAAAGGGTAAGAACACCCAAAAAAGTGTGCCAAATTCGTCTCCAGGTTGTTCTGAGCCTACTTGTAGGCTTAGAACAACCTGGAAATGAATCTGGCACACTTTTTTGGGTGTTCTTACCCTTTCTTCTGGGTGTTCTTTGGATGTTCGTGGGTGTTCATTCAAAATGTATGCTTAAAAAGCGAAATTATAAAAACTTTTTTGGGTGTTCGTTAGACGTTGCTATACTCAGCTCGACGAGCTCTATCGATTGGCTAATTCAGATTTTAATTTGGGGGTGTTCGTGGCTGTTTGCGTCTGTTTGCGTCTTTTAGAAATATCCCTGTTCAACGGTAAAAAGATGAAATCTCTATCATTTTTAATTAAAATACAGCTATAGTCGATTATGTATCTATTACTTTTCTATTAGAGATAACTACAAATCAGGATGAGAATAGACTCTTTTATTCTAGAATAACTTGTATTGAATACAAACTAGCTGTTGTATGATTTTCAAAAATAAAAAATATTTTAAACTATTAAATGTACAAACTCCAATAAAAAAGAAGAAAAACAACAAAATCTTATTTTACCTAAGATATCAGAATACAGATTAGATGAGTTTTTCTATCTCTCAACAGCCTCTAATAAATTAAAAACTAAGTTGTTATCTCAAAGTATGGTGTAACTTGTAATGATAGGAGAAAGAAAAGAACAGATGAATATATATATCGAGAAAAGAAAGTTCAACATATATATATATATATATATATATACACAATACTCTGTTGAAATTAGATACGAATACTGATGAAAAGTGAGTGTTAAAGGAAATAGAAAGATTATTCTTTTTTTTACTGGTCGGTGAAAACATGAGTGTTCAGAGTTTAAATATTATAAATTTACTGAAAAGTATCATATGAAGTTTGAAAATAATTCGAATTCTGTCAAAAGAGTCTCTCGTTAACTAGATGTCTGTCTATAGCTTAATTTTATGCAAATTGTTTTCTTGACACTTCTTGAATTCTAGAGTAACTAAATCGTATCTAGATAGAAAGTAGGTTTACATACACCATGTTTTCATAATTTCTTAATTATTTATTAAATCAGTTATTCCATTATGAGATACATGCAACATACAAAACAAGAAATCTATTTATAATTCGACATGCCATCTAAGTTTCTTATTTTGTTAAATATCCAAAACAAAATTAGAATCCTAGTACAAACCTGTTGTGACTAGAAGGAGGAACAAATAAATAAATAACAAGACAATAATAAATATACACAAAAATACATCATCCGATTTTAAAACTTGAAAAGAACAATCTAGATAAACACGGTGCAACGTCGAAAGCAAACAAATATTTACAAAAAGCAAGCTCAAAACCGTTATGACAATGGAGTTCACTGTATTAAGGAAGGAAAAGAAGGAACGGATCTGAACAACGAAAATACTAACATTTCGATGGATTGAACAGAAACAAATAGAACTGTTTAGAACCCACTTTTATTTGGTGAAAGCTGGAAAATCCGCTAAAACATCGGATACGTGCGAGCCGATACAGAGAAGAAAAAGGCAAGAAGAAACAAAAACTATCCCGTACTGTAGCTACAACAAGTCAGACTGTTCAGTTTTGAATAGATCGACATCTTCTGAGCTAATATTCTTTGAAGATAATCATCCAACTCTTTATTAATCGTCAACCGTAGTTCTGATCAGAAAAGTCAGTGTGATGCAGCGTTCTTTCGTCCAATCGCTTGACCCCATTTATTACTGCATATCACCTGTCTGGAAAGCCTGAGAAACTATGCTGTATGTCACAATGTAGCAGATATGCTATTGAACAGGTGCTTCATTAGGACATGACTAACTTATCTAAGGATAATGTATGACATGTCGATGCCGAGATTCGAGCACAGCACCTGTTAAAGTACGTGACGAACAACATAACTGTCATCATGCTGTGAAATGCAAACACAGAAGAACGATTCAATATGAGAAAAAAAAGAAAAAGCATCCTTGAAGAACATGAGGTTGTTTCAAAGCTAGTTTTTCCATATAACATGTGAATGATGAAAGCTCTAAAATAGTAGAGCTTTTATTTCATATAAAGAAAATATTTTCTTCGATTGATTTAAAGCTCAAAGTTTAATCGTAGAAAGAAGTTTTTCTCATCAATTCTCACAGAAAAAGTGTTTACAAACTGAAAACAGCAACGACTAAAGTAAATAAAAATGGATATCAATCCATTCTTGCTATCTTTATATGGTAAAAAAATATAAAATACCTGATTTCAAACGAATTCGAACTCGACTTCCAGATAATTTGAGATTTTTAATAACTAATGAAATAAAGAAAAACCATTTTTAATAATGATAGTTGAAAGTGATTAAAAGTCAACGTACACTCTCTCACTCCAATATTCGTTGTACTAACTCCATTTAATTCAACTACAACATCACCAGGTAAGATCTAAAGTAAACAAATCAAAATTCAATTGATATTTCTGATCTTAGAAGGAAACGAATTTATGTAGTTCTTGCATGAAGAGTGTTTCTTAACACTTGAAGATAGAAAATGAAGGAAAACTGTCAAAAACAATAAAATTTATTGGAGAGTTCTTTTATAAAGATTCCTTTTTCAAAAAAAATTGAAAAGATTCAATACATACTTTAGAAAGCGATCGCCTAATTTGTGTTGGTAAATGTTCACAATTTGCTTGTACAGATCGAACAGAAATTGTTTCTTGCCTAAGTTCGCCCTCATTTCCATCACCAATCCACTCAATTCCATAACCATCTTCGAGTTGATCATGACGATATAAATCAACAACTTTTACAATAGGTATAAGGGCCATTTACGTTTGATTACAATAACATTGTTATTTTTCGACATATACGATAGGCCTGGAATCAATAAAAACAGAAAATATGACATTATTTTAGATGAGCTCAATTAAATGCAACAAAAATAGTACAAGTTTACGCAATAAAAGTAAGTTGTAGAGTATACTCTGAGCAATGAACACTGAATCTTAGTTTTGTAGCATGGTTCTTCTATTTTTTCGTATAATAAGGAAGATTCTTTTCTTCTACCGGAATCACACTTTCAGGGTTCGTATTAGCAAAAATCAAAAAGTAGAGATAGGAGCAGGATTTTGAACTCTGTTATAATAGGATTGATACCAGAGAGTAAGATAAATGTAGAATGCGTGGAAAAAGGTTAGAAAATGTTTCTACTATCCACTGCTTTAGTATGATGAGATCCGTTAACTTTAATTCATATATTTTTTTCATTTTCAGTGGATATATGAATTAAGAATCTTCGGTAAAGAGTTTGCACGCTTTTAATATTCTAGTGCAACTAATAAGGTAAAAAAAACATAAACAGCAAGAAATAATAACTATTCTTCTGATGTATATAGTATACGAAACCGAAAAGTCTTAAAGAGAAGATGTTTTTGAAAATTAATCGGCGTTTTTTTCTCACGAAACATGGTGTTCATTTCAGTGCGTTAGCTTCACTTCTTTTTTCTTATTTTTTAGTTTTCACAATTCAAGCATACGTTAATTAAGTCAAAGTTACGATATTACCAGTATATTTCCTTCAAATTCTGAATGTGAAAACATGATGAAGGGAAGACAGACTCACATGAAGAATTTTTTGGAGAATACATTAGTGTGTTTTGTTTTAATCCATAACGGATTTTTACATTGAACCTCGTATAGATTCTGGCGAGCACACTTTTAGCTACAAAGTAAGATGTCTTTCACCTTTAATGATGTTTTCTGTAAATACTAGCTGAGAAAAGCAGAGTATACAATGTACGCTTTGTTTTCTATCTAATAGAACTCTTTTATATTTAAGAGAAAATAAAAAAACTTTTTTAACTGTCTTTAAGTGAGTAGTCAGATTGAAAAAGAGACGTTTTTCTTATTATACAAGATCAGTGATCTTTTTCTATATTTGTAATTGTCTGTCTGCAAGCTGCTTTCTAGAATAAAAACTATATAAAGAAAATTTCTATTTTTCTCCTCTAATTTCTGAAGTCTAATTGATGGTTTCTTTTCTAGATTTGAAACGTGTACGCATTACAAAAAGAACAGGGGCCTGTTTCTTAAAAAAACTTAAGTAGAAAATCTTACTTAAGTCAAAATAGACAAAGACTTTTTTGGACTTAAGTAAGATTTTCTACTTAAGTTTTTTTAAGAAACAGGCCCCAGAGCGTATGCATACGCTTTGGTTGGAAAAACAGAGCTCAGCGGATAAATTTTGTTAGAAACATTGCATGAAAGTCATGCATCATGATGTTTCACATGAAATCATCCAGAAGACGCTAATCTTGTGCAACGAATAACGTGAATAGCATCTGCATGAAAAAGAGCTGACTATGATTCTAAGGTCACTATAACGTGTGATCATATTGCTGATTAGAAAACTTATGAAACTAAGCCTGTCTGACTAAGACCATTTGAAAAATAATCTCATATTTCAATTTTAGTTTAGCTCAGTTTGTCAACAACTTTTGCAAATACACGTCGTTCGTGACGGAAATCAAACGCAAGAATTTATAACGTTTTCTGCGACGTACTTCGTTGAAATCTACACCCTCCGAAAATGCTATCAAACTATGACGGAATTGTATTTTTCAAGGAGTGAATTAGTGGATTACCTGAACTAGCGCACTCATATCAACGTAAAAAACATGAAGTTCATTTAGAGTCGCGGAAAAGTGCTTTTTCGTATACAGCACACTCGATAACCTCGATTAAAAAGACTGATTAGAAAAAAGTATTAGTACAAAAATTTCTTCAAGTATGCGCAAAGCATTATAAAAGAAGTAAAATGGGGATTTTCTAGACATAGTGCTACACTAAGATCAATGGATTTTTAAAATTTTCCACATTAAGTGATTGCAACTTGTATTCTACTTAGCGTAACGTCATTCAGGAAGCATTTTCATTTTCTTTTTCTACAAAAAGGAATTGGCCAATCGGATGATCGAATGAATCATTCTCCAAATTCCATCAAGTACCAATGGCCATTGGGATATATAGAAAATATAGTTGAACTTGTACAGTAGAATTATGTAAAAGTCTAAAATGAATTATCTGTTCAAATATTTGTTTTATCTGCATCCGTATTAGTAAAAGTTATAAAAACCTTGAAATAGAATAACTTTTTACAGTGGTGCCGTTTTTACCTGAGCCAAATGACATGAAAAATCTCTTGGTCACTTCATCAGACTGCTCCCAAGAGTTCCGAGGATCGGACATGTCAACAAAAAGTGTATAGCCCTGAGCTAGTTGATGAGTGTCTAGAGTAGCCCAATTTTTAGCATTGAAATAAGTAATCTGCGTAACTCGTCACAGACTGTAATTTTTATAAGCATGTTAGTACTGCAATTGTTGAGTAACCTCATATTTTTGACGCGTCAATGACAATGCATTAATTTTGGTGATTGGAGTTTCAAGACATGAGCCTCTTTGTCCCCATCGTTTGTGGTGAAAAATGTGTATCAATCTCACTACAATATTAATTTTGTGTTCTCAGGATAAGAAATGATGCTATGAACTTTAATTTTGTCAATAAGATCTTGATGTAACATTATTCATCCCTTCAATAAACGATCTATGTTGTAACGATGAATCAATAAACGATTCTATGTGTAACGATCTATGTTGAGGGGTTCTGTCATGGTATCGTTATTATACCGCTGTTCGCTCAAGTTTTGGCACAAACTAGTGCTGCATAGGATTGTGGAGTATATGGATATGGATATTTTCAATGGTGTGCTGTATCATGTGCCTATTTCGATTCGAGAAGAAATAACTGTACAGCTTGTGTAAGCAAACAAAGTAGATCAATTCCTTCCAACGGCTTTTTTCACAACAAAATACAAAAACTCATTGTATAACATAACTATGACGTCAAACACTTACGACATATTACCTGCTTGATTGCCGTATCTTAACTATAGCTAGTATTATTTTAATTCTGTAATTGTGCTAACATCAATTATAAGCAACCGGGTAACATATAAAAATCATCTTCGCAGATACGTGAACTTTTTTCATGATCATTCAACTACTACGAAGCACATTTCAAGCAGATAGCATGATAGATGAATAGTCGATGTGTTTCTTATAATCAGATATCTTTTACCAAGCGATACCAGTGTACATAATATTCAAGCTTGATGAGCACTTACAATGAGAAGAGATCCTCAAGATAGATACGCCTGTGAGTCACGTTACATCATCGATTTCGATTAGGTGAGGAAAGAATGCCTTTCTCCCTCCGTTTAAAAAGTTACTCAAACAAGATTTCGTTACTCTATCATAAACGCTATAATACATGTTAAACTCTTTTAATTGAATAACTATGGCGCAAATGAATCTCGCTGAGTAAGCCAGTATTTTGACCACTTCATGGTAGTGAGTAACAACAGTGACTAACTACTGTCGGTTTGCTATGTTGACTTCATTAAATGAAACGTAATTATACAGAAAGGCTTTTAGTAACTGACTAAAATCTCCTTTCTTCGCCAGCATTCTGTTGCAAATGCTGATCAATATCAAACTTGTAGTAATCTTCATGGCGTGAAAATTGTCACTAACATAGAAACAATGAGCCAATGTATTTTCAATTTACAAAAAAAACACTATCATTTTCTAAACTTTACTATCCGGCGGGGTGGTCTATTTGTGCTATTAAACGTAAAAACAGTTTTACTCCGTTAAAAATCCAAATGAAATAATTCATTGAATCTGAAACCAAAACAACAGTAAAGACAAACAAATACAAATAAAAAAACAACAACAACAATAAAATAAATACACATTTTACAGAAGAAAAAAAAGCAAACTTTGTATTGTTCACTTTTTTCCTAGCCTGCAAAACAACCATGTTGGCCAAGAAAAAGAACTAATCTACAAAAAACCCAAATAAAACGGGTATCTCAAACCTTTTTAAAAAAAAAACCGTAGGAGACTGTTACGTATAATCAAGGAGACGAATAGTAAATGAAATAACAACAAAATATATACAGACACAAATATACCAAAAAAAACATACACACATCAGGATAAACTAACTGAAAAAAAAGCAACGAACAGTTATATATTCTCAAACAACGAAAAAGTAGAAAGAGATGACAATTATTTTTTTTATAACTTTATGTATGAATAAACAAAACAATTTAAAGCAGCAGTATCTTTTCTAAATTTTTCAATTTGAGAAACCAATATATATATATATATATATATATATATATATATATATATATTGTCAAGATGATTGTATCATTAAAACAGAAATGTAGACTAGTATGAGGTATTCATATTTTGTTTGTTTTTTTACAGTAAGTGTAAATTAACATTAATGTTTTTGAATAAAAAAAGTGAAACTATCCAAACTACAATAAAAGAAGAGAGAACAAAAAAAATTGTTCTAACTTGATCTAAATTTTCTAATAATGACAAAAAAACAAAAATATCAGCTTCAACTTCTCATTTAATAGACAAGTGTCGACAACTTTGTGAAGACAAACTATTAATAGAAAATCGATATTCGAGAAACACATGTTACAAAGAGAAAAATGACGTGATAACGCATAGTAGAATGAAAAAAATATGTTACACATCTATTTACGATTAAAAAGTATTTCATTCAATATTCCATTGAAATATGTTTTAATTAATAAGAGAACGTTATTATCGATGTTAGTGAAATAAAAATTTGTTTCAATACTTTTTTAAAATCTTATTGTTCTGGTAAATCTGGTCATAATCTGATAAAAAACAAGTGAAACGAATAATATTCACTATCATCGAAAACAAAAATCGAATGAAATCTTTTCATTACAAAATAAAGTGCAACAAATGTTTTACTTTACAAAATTGTTTAATATAGAAATTCTAGGACAATTAAGAAAGAAGAAAAGAAATAATTTTTTTCTCTTTTATGAGACTAATAATTCTCTACTAGTTCTTAGTGAACTATTTTTGCTATTATTTGAGGTTAATGATGTTGATGACTCTGATTTTGATAATTCATGATCTAATTTACAAGAACTCGATCCACTTTCACCATCTCTCTCAAATGAATCTAATGATTGTACCGAACCACTTCGTCTTAATAAGGATTCTGTTTGTGCTTGACTAAATGTATTAATTAAATCATTTGAATTTTTTTCTGTTAACGGTGATTGAAGTGTTGTTGTTGTTGTTGATAACTGTGCTGTTAGATTATCACAATTACGGGATAAATCGTCGGTTTTAACACGTTTTAATATGGGAGCACGATCGAAGTTAGAATTAATTAATGTTATATCTTCTGTTGGTGATAATCGTTTTAATGTGATACTGTTCGGGCGTAATAATGTTAGCCGATTTACAGTTAATGATAATGGTAATGATGATGACGAATTAACCGAACTATTTGTTAATGTACGTGAAGCAGATGAATCAACGGATAAATTTGCAATACCTGTTGACGGTGATATTAAGGAAATGGTAGATGAATGTTGTTTTGTTAAATCAAAATTAAATCCTTTTGGACGAACAATATGTTTTGGACGACAAATAACATCTTCAATACTAGTCGTTTTTGTGACTGTTGTATTATTTAGAGTATTATCATCATCGTCAACATCTCGCTCTCGTTTGAGTGAAGGATGATCAGTCGATGGAGAAGAATTTCCTTCAATTTGAACGTATCGACGACGATCGCTGATAGCCGATGAAATACATTTGATTAGTGATGGAGATTCCATTGTTGAGGTTGAGGAAGATTTTCGACACTGACGTTCATATTCAGATAATTGTCCAAGAAAATTGAAATTAGGAGATATATGATGACGTTTTGCTTTTATAAATCTAAATATGTCAGATAAAAATTAGTCCAATTATCTAAGAATAAAACGAAAAGTGTTAAGTCAAAACTTGCCTGTATGCATCGTCCGCACTTAAACCCATATATTTCATGATATAGGCAACCGCTAATGCTGGTGATCTGCTGATACCCGCTAAGTAATAAGAGCAACAAATTAAGATTAAAAACTGTGAAATAGCAAAACAAACAGAGAAAAACAATTTTTTTTTACCTAAACAATGAATGAATACATGACCATTACTTAATCGAGCTTTTTCTAAAAAATAAATTCAGATCAACAAAAAATTCATCAATAATAACCACTTTTTGATTTACCAATAAAATTATATGCTTGATCAAAATATGGAATTAATTGTGCATTGAGACTATCATTAATTGGTATTCGTAAAAAATGTTCATCATTTTCATCAGCTATCGACGGAGCCTTTGGACACGTTGACGATACATTGATTATATGAGTTATTTGATAATCCTGAAAAACAAAAAGGATAGTAAAATTTACTGTCCTATTCCTAATTTTTCTATCGAACCAGCATCGTTTTTGTTGACATCACGTCTTCTTGTGATCCAAGAAATAAAAATGGCAGAATTTGAGATGGTCCAGCATTGGGCATTATTGACAAACATTGTTCACTCATAGAACGACTTGAAAACATTGATTAGTAATTATTATAGATTACGTTTGCTCTATTGTTAAGAAAAAGGCAGAAGAAGAAAGAAAAGAGCGGAAAGAAAAAGATACATAGTCAGATCTAAAGTAAACAAAAGAGTCATCGCAGAATTACATGGAACTATGAGAGTATTCACATTTGTTTCGTTTTTTAGTAGTATTTTTCGAAAAATACTTTTAAACGATGATTAATAAATTAATTGCGCTTCTATTATTCCAACCAAGAACGAATTCTTTTTCTGGCATTTTATGGAAGAAGATCGCAATCCGATTGGTCTGTAACGGTCAAATGAATTATGTGGCTAGAGGGTAGGGCATACCGTTAATTTACTCAGAAAATTTTCTAGAGGGCATGATTCATGAGTTTAATTTAAAGTGCAATTCTTTTGTCGTTTCAATTATTATCATTAAGCATAAAAATCCAATGAACTACAATGCAAAAGAGATCAATACGACGATCAAGATAACCATTTCCATTTCAGCGCATACACAAGTTTTTTGAAAAAAGGATAAGCGCGAACCGAATCCATAGCCGAGAAAATATGTTTTCTTATTGTCTCTTTACATACAGCAAGCCATGCTCTCGATGAAACCAATGCTTTACCCGAAACAACGATGAACACCGCCACCGGATATTGTTAGTAGAAATGATGGACCACAAGAACTAGTCGGAAATATGATTTTATTCTGCGACAATAGCCCAGGTGAAAAAGAACCTCTTCTAAACACATTTATAGTGAAAATCATGTTCATTTCCGATCTGATCGCTGCTGTTGACTGATGAATCCACGTTTTATCAGTCTAGTTTCAATGAAAGACCTCTGTGTGCTCCGATTCCAAGAGTTGCTGTCTAGATTTTAAAAAGTGGTTGTTAAAGGACAGAAAATAGCGCTTATATCTGAAAAAATCAAGTAGAAACTCTCAAAACTTAACATATCCCAGGTGTATAAAATGTAAATATCGATGGATTTCTGCTATTTTAAAAATAAGTTATATCGCTAGTCGCTCGATTTGTGGACTTGCTGATCTCATTAAATACGCATTTTTCACCCGATCAGAGCATTCTGGCACCTTGGGCTTGCTTTCAATATGAAGAACACTTGGGAATTGAATTCCCAGGTAAGCAAAAAATTACTGAAGACGGCCGTCATGACTAGTCCGAAGTGTCCGTATATCCCGTCAGGACTAGTCTGAAACGTCTCTTTCGTCCCTGTATGATGATTCTTTGTCACAACCTTTCTTTCTAGTATGTGCATCTTTCGGTAGGACTACTCTCTTTTGTTTCGTTTTGTTCGTTGTCTGTTTTGTACTTTTGCGGTTCTTATCTGTTATGATGCAGTAGTAAATGTATATATCAGGTGTTTTTGGTTTGTGAAGTTAGTTTTTTGTAGTTTGTAATAAAGAGTAGTCGAATAAAAGAGTGATACTACGTATCTTAACGCACGCATACAATCAACTCAAGGACTTATAATCAGAGGAAATATAAGCCGTCACACCCTGGTCTGGATTGTCTCCTTCTACCCGTCATGACTAGTCTGTTGTGTGTGCTATACCCGTCTAGACTAGTTGAAGACGACATGAATAATCCATGGTCTTAGTTCGAACTATTACACCGTCTGCGCAAAGAAACTGACGCCCGGATCGGATGGACGTCTGGTAAAGAGCCATAATGCATAAGGGTTCACTTTTAGAAGATCTCCGACAAAATGTTACAAAAAATAGGAGAGATTATTTGATCTTCTTTTTAATTAGAATTTTCATAATTCAGGCAAATTATTTGAGCTACGCAGGCTTCAGCCTCAGAAATCACTTGAATTTAAAAGTATGCGCCCTAGAATGGATAAGTTATATACCATTCGACGCAGATTTTTACTCTGATTCCGAATATGTTATTGGTTTTTAGTTTTCGTGTTAGTAAGCAGAGAAAAACTCGGATTTTCCTCAAAAACCTATACCTCATCTCAGGAGTATTTAGGTTATTTTGGGCTAACAGCATCGATATATCGTCAGTAGATGCATGTTTTTTAAAAATTTCATCTCATTTGGAGCTTTGGAAAAAAGAAATCGACTATACTGAGGTGTGCTCTTTGGAAACCACTTAGCACAGAAAGAAAATTGTTTTTCTTGGTGATAAAACGTCCAAACTAAAAATTTTTTTAATGAGTAGATAGAGTGGAAGATCTAGTTTTGCAGTATATATAAGTTTTACAAATATCAGACTCTGTTTTACCAAAACTAATTTTGTCGCATCATCGATCTCTTTTTCGACAAAAATTTGATTCTCCTTTCTCGTTAATTATGACAAAAAAGAAACTTCCAATGGCAAAAAGATAGAATGGCAAAGAGCGTTTGCCGAAATATATGTTCAGCTATTCGAATTTGCCAAAAGTCCACTTTCATTTTTCCACCTAATGTCCACATGGTTGACCACTGTGTCCTTGGGAAAGCCTAGAAGGATCTTTCAGGATCCTGAATTTCAAGGATCTTGTCAAGTTTTATTCAGGATCCTGTCTCGAATCCTGGTAATTTCTGTTTGCAGGATTTTCTTATGGTCAAGCAGGATCCTTTTCAGGATTTCTTCATGTTCGTACTCAGATTTTTTCTGAATTGACAATGCAGGATCCTACTAGGATTCGCTCTCGATCCTACTCGGAATCTTGACAAGAATAAAAGAAAGGATTCGGTCAAGATTTTATCAGGTTTTAGTCAAGACCTGTTGTGAATCCTGATACAAGGATCCTGTCAAGAGTTATAGTTATATCAGAGGAGGATCTTACCAAGAAGATAACAGGATCAGTCACAATCATAAACTGATAAATCTTGCTAAGCTTTGAACAGGATCCGTGGTTCTGAATTAATAATGCAGGATCTTACTAGGATTCATTTTTGTTCCTAATTAGGATCTTAGCAGGAATAACAGAAAGGATTATCAAGATTTCATCAGGTTTTTGTCAAGGTTTTTTCGGAATTCTGAAAAGACATATTATTCAGTTCCTGTCAGGATCTTATCCGGATTCGTTTTACCTGATCAAATCTCGATTTGTTGCTTAATTCGTCTTCTCGAATTCTTTTTAAATTTATGTTCATCTAAATACAGTCGAGAAATTTTACTGTATTTGTAATAATAGATCTTTCAATGACTTTTATCAAATCCTCTTATATTTCTTACCTAGATGGCGTTATAAGCACCTCTTCTTTTGCAAAAACGATGTGTTGCATTAAATTCATGCGATTTCATAGATAAGGTGTATATTGTTGTTAAACGTGAACCTTCTCTCGTTAAATTTAATCATGTTGATATTTGTTCTGTAACTTGTCTTCGTTCTCGTTGTTTTTCTGTTCCTTTCGGTGCGAGAAGAGAAGAGGCTGTAAGTAGAGAACAAGCGTACATTAAAAAGTACTCATTTTTCTCTGTGTGCAACACAAAGATACTTGACGAAACTGTTTTCATCTGGGAGTTCTTCTTTTTCTGTCGTACCTTAAGGCTTAATGATAATTATTCCTCGCTGAATTGTTTAACGATTGAAAAATAGGTATAACATATTGTTTAAAAATAAATGCTCGCAATGGCCAGAAGAAATATTTGTGTCACGGTTTATTTGTTCGCTTTCTTTCTCATAAAATACCGTTACTTTGTCCGCCTTTTATGTATCAGAGCACATCATAATTATCGGGTGCTGATTGAACCCAATGCGCAGTATGAACTGAGGTATTTAACAGAAGAGTAATGCTGATCGGAGAATAGTATTTCTATTGAGTGCTGCCATCATATGGAAGTTCTCGAAAGGTTATCTACACAGTATTTATGACGTAGAATCCTATCGAAAATTTGGTCTGCTGATAAAAGGAAGAAAAAGCTCGCGACTACAAGAAGTAGCGGTTCCTATAAAAACTCACTGATTTTCAAGTATCAAAACTTTTTAATAGTCGAACAACTTTGTAACAAAAAGTAAAAACCAACCAACTTTCGTTTCGCACAGATAGGCTGAATAAGAAAATCTAAGATAGTCAAGGTGTATAGGTGGGTAGTAGCCATTTGTAAGCCCCACGGAAGTGGGAAGTTAAGAGCACTGAAAACTTTTGCCCTTTATTGTAATGATGTTTTTCGTGCTAATTTCAAAGATCTTGGGAAAACTTGGACAAGTAGTTAGACTGTGCCCAGTTTTTACTAAGATCAACGAAAATAGGTCAAAAGAACATAAATGGTGATTTCGAATGGATCGTACAAGAAGTCTGTAAAAACTGCTATTTCCATTACACGTTCTAAATAGTTTGTTATAGATCACACCCATTTTTTTGCAATCTTCGAATTTTGAAATTATTCATTAGATGGAAGCTATCATAATCATTTATTGTAACTAAACCATTAAAGAACCCGTGCACTACCGTTTTTAACCTCTTGAATGACGTAAGGCATCTATAGATGACATGAAGGAAATTTTATATGCTGCATATGCTTTTTCGTTCTATCAATTTAACGAAAAAAAAGTGCCAGAGGAACGCATGTCACGAAAATAACAGAACGCAAAGAGAGATATTTAATCGGTTTTTTACAGATGCATGCCTTTGGACACGTAAGAGGAAAAATAACGGCATTCAAGAGGTTAACGGCATTATTCCTCAGTATCGCCCTGTACTTTCATCATTACCACATATAGAGGGAATAATGAGCAGTGATAGTGATAATAAAGCTCATGATAATAATATTAATATTTTCATGTACGTGAAGTACCCTAAAGCACCTGGTGCCGCGGATATAATAAACATTCTAAAATTGAAAGGTGTTCCAATACACACATCATATAATATTAACGATTTACTCAACTCCAAACATGGTCCATTTAATATTCTCATAATCCCTGGTGGAACCGCTAAGAAGCAACAATCTGATTTAACTGAGAAAGGCTGTGAAATAATAAAATTCTTTGTGTCTTCAGGTGGTGGTTACGTTGGATTTTGTGCTGGGGCATATCTAGCCTCATTGCCTCCTAAACACAACTTAAATCAAAATTATCCTGGTATAGGCTTAATAAAGACGGAATATCTGCTTCCAAACACAAAAATGGAATTAAAAGGAAAGATTGATTTACAAATTAATCAGCCATCGTTAGCAAGAAATCATTCAAAGGTGATTAAAAACAATAATGATTATAATTCTAGTAATGATCATTGTACTCTTAGTATGAATTATCACAATGGCGCTTTCTTTGAAATTTCTGATAATAAAGAAAGCTCTAGCGATGCAGATAATAATGAAGATAATAATGACATCACAGTGATTGGTCATGTTACTGAGCTGTATGGCATCAATTTGAGAACAATGATTGGTAAAGCCGCGATAATTAAATCTTCCTATGGTTGTGGCTCTGTGGTCTTGTGCGGTCCCCACCCTGAAACAACAGAAGGATTGGAGCAATTCACATTCAACCTCATAATGGAAGCCGCTCCAAAACCAAAATAACCAGAATTCTGTTATATTCATGTTGCACATCGCTGTTCTCAAGCACAAGTATACAAATATACAATTTTACAATCCATCACGTAGCATTCCATGATAACAGCAAAAATGAATTTTTGGCTTTTTATACACATTCGTTTCGCGAAAAACGATTCATGTCAGCATAATGCGCACGGATCTCTTAAACTTCTCATTTTTCAAAGATTTTTTGCCTCAGTTTTCACATGTCGTCATCCAGATAGGTAATAAACTACGTTTTCCCGTCTGAACTGTGCGATTTTCGCGCTTGTTTTGGGAAACTGCGCTGTCTAAAAAGTGACTCGAAAACGAGTCATGACTTGACTTGACTTGACTTGACCCTGCAGAAAAAATATGACTCATGGCTCGACTTCACTTGACTCTAGTTTTTTTCTGTGACTTAACTCGTGATTCGAAAAGTCCTGACTTGCCCAGCCCTGTCTAGTACACAACACAGAATCCCTTATTTATGTTCTTCATTTTCTCCAAAGATACAAAAATTGAAGTGAAACAGCTATGGGCTACATCAAATGCAAGAAAGCAAAGGCGACTAACAATCGTCTTTGAAAGTAGGTTTAATTATTCTCACCTCTGAAGTTAAAATTCGCCAACGTGCTTCACATATTTTTTTGTCTGTGTCGCTCATCTGAGCAGAAAACTGCTTTCTTTGCCCCTGCTTACATTACAGTGTGTTGAGAACTTAAAGATATCGAATAGTCCCGCCCGGTCCATAAGAAAAATGTGAGCAGCTTATATGGCTTAGTTTGACTGGCGTCAAGTAGTATTGCTCGGAATAATCCACACACGTTCACAGCATGTCTAAAGACATTAAAGCGTTTTCTCGATGTCTGTCTACGAGCAAGTCATTAAAACTCAAGGGTTTTCCGCGTGTTTTACAGAGTCACTATTATGGAAAATCGCCTTTGTTACTACAGGGTGGCACATAACCTTTGCCTTCCCCTCTATAACCTAAAGTATCAATGATATCACACCTTCGTCTCAAGATACCACCGAAAGTTTATTGTCAAGTGTTGGCCAAACAGCATCTTCTTCGTCGTCTGACAAAGAATATCAAGATAGAATCTGTAACTTCATCACAACTTTTATTCAGCTTCCTGATGTTTCTCTAGAAGCTTAAAAAAGTAACATCTCAACAGTTCATGTAGAAGATATTCTGTCTATATTTTCTATAATTACAGGGTGGCACATAACCTTTGCCTTCCCCTCTATAACCTAAAGTATCAATGATATCACAAATGTATTTTATATCAAACCAAAGCGCGTCAAAAACTGAATTTATTGGTACTAAATACTAAAGGTTATGAAGGCCTTTTAATGTCGAACTTACGAAATTTTCAAAAATTCTATGCTTTTCTGGTGTAGAAAATTAAGATGCCAGTAATTCAAAAATGGAGTAAAACGTTTTTCTTGGAAATTTTTACATGGTTCGATAGAGTTCAACGAGCTCTACAAAACTGTATGTATCAGAAAAATTTTGAGCCATCTTTTTTGAAATAAAAAAATTCAAAAACCGGTTGGAAAATCGCAAAAAATGTTAAAAAAACTCATTTTTTCCTGTGGAAGACGACACTCGATTTTTCAATAAAACTAGCTTCTCTCATTATTTTTTGCTACCTCACACGTTTCGAAATATACTCCTTTCAAGCCGCGTAAAAAACTGCATCTATTAAGTACACTTCGTAACGTGTGAGGTAGCAAAAAATAATGA